CCTGGTTCTGTTAGTTGAATTTTATTGTTCATTGTTGTGTTGGTTTTAGATACTACTTTTCTCTCTTTTGTCTCCTTTTTCTTTTGTCTGTGCTTTTATAAATTATTTTCTAGTCCTTGTTCCTTGGTTAATTAAGTTAGATGGATAGAAATGCAATACACCGAAAACGATACGCAGAAATGCCCCAAAACGAGAAGGCTTCGCTTTTACACCGCTGAAGTGAAGCTAGAGCTGCAAAGAAAAGAAAAGAATCATCGCGTTCTTTTGTTCGTAGTGTTCCACTTGGTTATGTTGAAACAGGTGTATTCTTCTCTAATTCTTCTTCACGTGGAGACAGTAACATTCAGAATAGTCGGAACAACGATGTTACACTGAATGAAATGTTACAACATAGGTCGATTGGTTTTGCTAATGATGAGAATGTTCTGATTAAATAGGGATTGGACTACATGACTAGTAGTGGAGCTGTTGTCACTAATGTTTCTGGTCCTTCTGTTGTTCCCATTGAATCAAATCCACTTTTTATTATTCCTGAAGGTATATCCCGCCTATTTTTCCCTACAGATCAGCCATGTCTTTGTCACTCTATTGTTATTCCAATATCTTGCCTTATTTTTAGTTAGGCATCCTATCCTGCTACAAATCCAACCTTTAATTTATATACATTACAAAAACTTCACTTATTGGTGAGCTAGGGAGTGGAAGAGGTAGGAAAAAAACTGGTACGATTATGCAAAGAGAAGAACAATGTGGATCTTCTCATGATTATCATGCAGCACAGTCTTTTAGGAAAAGGTACATGAATACCGTATTGACAAAACCATCTCTTATCTCAAAAAACACTGTTATCCTTTCTGCTAAGAATAAGCCAAAATTTGATCTTCAAACATGTATCAGCTCTGAATCTTTAAGTCATTCGTCAGTCAACTCTATTCCTTCTTCTATTACATTGGATCCTCAGCTAAGAAATATTACTGACAAGCAAAAAGAAGCATGCTTTCCAATTTCTAATCTTTGGTCTACTGTTTAATCTTCTAGGCAGCAACGCAAGAACACCTCGTCAAAAACATTGACTCGGGGTCCTCAAAACAGTACAGTTCTGCCTAATGAGATTAACCAGAGGTTTAATATTCAGAATCAGAATTCAGATAATGCTTTTCATCATATGAATGAGCCAAATTCAGAAATCAATAATGTTATCAACTACAAATCTTTGGATCACTTTTCAACAGACCTTGCATCTTTTTCTACTCAAGTTGATTCTGAACCTAGATGTCTCTCTAAAGGTATAATATTGGTTCTTTAAATTGTTATCTTTGCCAATATCTTTTGCTATTTCTTTGGTTTCTTCTGATCACAGAAGAAAAAAAAAGAAAATGCACTATCCACCATATCTGTAATATATCTATACCAAGATATTCTGCAATGGAGATCTTATTAAGATTTACTATTGTAGTTATCCAGCCTTGCAATGAAAATTCAGCTCTGCAACATCAAACAAAGCCTGATGTTCCCAATAGAAGAAAAAGACATAGAAATCGTTGTAATCTTACCGCTACTGTTACTCCTCCCAGGCCAAAACGTAGCCATCCTGTTCGTAACAAAGCCCGCGCACCAGGTTGCATTTCGTTTATTAGTGACCCTAATACTATCTAAGTCATTTTTATACTATTTTCTCCCTCTTGCAAAACTGGACTTTGTTATTCTATCAACTATATTGATCCATCTACAGGGGCAAATGGTACTGGTGCTAGGACATATCTTTCAAGAATTGATCATATTCCTGATGCACCTTTACTCCTTCCTGATGCTTCTGACTGTCAATATTGTGGGGCTAAGAGGTTTTATTTAGAATCTCCTACTTTTTGTTGTTCCAAAGGGGAAATCTCTATTGTCGCTCCTCGCATGCCTTATGCTCTCAAGCGTCTTTTCATAGGAAATGATGAAGAGAGTGAGCATTTTAGAAAATTAGCTCGTACCTATAATAACAACTTGGCTTTCACAGCTTTTGCTGCAAAATATGATTCCGAATTAACAAAGAATACGAAGGGTGCTTATACTTTTCGTGTTCAAGGCCAAGTTTATCATTTTCTCAATAGCTTATCACAATTAGGTGATAGGTCTTCTGGAATTCAGCTATATTTTTTTGATACTGATGAGAAGCTCAAAAGAAGAGTAGCTAGCTGTGACAAGTTACGTGAGAGCACTTTAAGGTTGTTGATGGATATTCTTTCTGAGAATCCTTATGCTAGATTTTTCAAAGATCTCAGAGATGTGCCAAATATTAACAACTTCAACATTGCTCTTAGTTGCTATCCAACTCTAGACCAGCGTGTATATAATCTCCCTTCTACTTCTCAAGTTGCTGCAATATGGACTGAAAGTGATGACGAGTCTCTTGATAAACAAGCACATATTCTGGTCTATAGTCACTCAAATACAAGTCATAGGATTCAGCACTACTACGGTTCTTATGATCCTTTACAATATCCTTTATTATTTCCTCGGGGTGAATCTGGATGGCACCATGGAATTAAACGAGTCTATAAGAGAAAGAGAGGTGATGCTTTATATGAGGATGAAATTAATATTGATCCATTTTCTGTTGAACACTCCTCTGATTTGATTGATCTAGAAAGGAGAGGCAAGTGCAAATGCCGTCTTCTCAAATTTCTGAATATTATTTAAAATAAATACATTTCTTCATTCATATATTGTTTCTTTCCTTTTTATAGCTGCTGACCGTGGCAAGAAAGAGGAATATACTGTCTCGACTAGAGAATATTATTGTTATAGATTTCAAATTAGAGATAACGATGAATCCATGTTGCTGCACACACTTAGATTATTACAGCAATTTTCTGTTGATGGGTATGTAAATATTGAAACTTCTAGGTTGGATTTTCAACAAAAAAGACAGAATGATATTCGGACTGAAATTCTTGAGGGAGTGATAGATAGTCTTTCAGTAGGCCAGACTGAAAGTTCAAAGGTTGGTTGTAAAGTGATATTACCAGCTTCATTCATAGGCGGACCACGAGATATGAGGCGTCGATATCTTGATGCCATGGCCTTGGTTCAAAAGTATGGAAAACCTGATATTTTTCTTACGATGACATGCAATCCGATGTGGTAAGAAATTCAAGACAACCTGCAATTTACAAAAAAACCTCAAGATAGACCAGATCTTTTATCTAGAGTTTTCAGAGCAAAATTTGAAATGCTTAAATCTGAACTTTTAGATAAGAAAATCTTTGGAGAAGTAGCTGCATGTGTTTATGTTATTGAATTCCAAAAAAGAGGATTTTCTCATGCTCATTTATTATTAATTTTGAAACCACAGTTCAAGTTGTTGAATCCTCAATCTTATGATAGGATAGTATCTGCCGAGCTCCCTAATCCTCATCAATATCCTTATCTATACTCTCTTGTTCTTAAACACATGATTCATGGTCCATACGGAGTTATGGATCAAACTAGCCCATGTATGAGGAATGGTTCATGCAAGAATCATTATCCAAAAAATTTCTGCGAACAAACGGTCCATGCTGAAGACAGTTATCCATGTTATAAGAGGAGAGATGATGGTAAAAAGACAAAGGTGCGTAGATATCAGCTTGACAATAGATGGGTTATTCCATATTGTCCTTATCTATTGGCCCTTTTTGATTGCCACATGAATGTAGAAGTTTATTCTACTTTGAAGCTGGTGAAATATTTATACAAATATATATTCAAAGGACATGATCTTGTTAGTTTTAAGATTGTTACTGGAGGAAGCTCTGATGATGTCGATGAAATAAAAGAGTTCCAGTAGGGAAGATGGATTTCACCCCCTGAAACATTTTGGCGAATCTATGAATTCCGATTAAATGAGATGACCCCAGCAGTTTATTCTCTTCAAATTCATCTTCCTGGTCAGCAGCTTATCAGTTTCAACAAAAATTCAAATCTTTTGGAATTGAAGAGAAAGATTGATTTTTCAAAGACCATGCTAACCGAGTTCTTTGAAATGAACAAAGCAAACTCAAAAGCTGAAAATTTGAAATGCTTTTATAGAGACTTTCCTGAGCATTTTGTTTGGTCCACTAAATTTAAAATTTGGAATAAGAGAAAACGTAAAAAGATCATTGGAAGACTGGTAACTGTTAGTCCTAAGGAAGGAGAAAGGTATTATCTTAGACTGTTGCTAAATCATGTGCGAGCACCTACGTCATTTGATGACCTTTTAACTGTTAATGGTCAAAAAATGAATTGCTTCAGGCAAGCTGCTTTGAACCTTGGTCTATTATAGTCTGATATATATATAGAAGATACGCTTGAGGAAGCAGGAATTTTCAAATGCCATCATCATTGAGACCGTTATTTGCTACTGTTCTTGTTTATTGTTCACCCACTGATCCAAAATTACTCTGGGACAAATTTGAACAACAGCTATGTAGTGATTATCAAAGATCACAAGAACTTTATCACTATTCTTCTACTGAAATCAGAAGTAAAGTTTTGAAAGATATTAGCAAATTGCTTGAACAAATGGGTAAAAATATTGATGATTACCATTTAGTTCCAGATACTTTTAGAAGTGCATATCATGAACAGTTAACAAAGGAAATTGACAGTGAAAGGAATATTGAAGTATTACCAGAAGATCTGCTATTGCCTTTTAAATTGAATGCTCAGCAACGGCATGCTTATGATTTAATTTTGCATGCAATTTCTTCTTTTGTTGGCCAAAGTTTCTTTATCGATGCTCCGGGTGAAACTGGTAAAACCTTTCTCTATAGGTCACTTTTAGCTACTTTAAGATCTCAAGGACATGTTGCTATTGCAGTCGCAACATCCGGTGTCGCAGATCTGTTCTTCCAGGTGGAAGAATAGCCCATTCTAAATTTAAGATACCGCTAGATTTGTCAACAAATAAAACTTGCCAGCTCAGTAAGCAAGGTAGTGTTGCAAGACTACTTTTTGAATCGAAACTGATATTGTGGGATGAAGCATCAATGGCCAAAAAAGAAACTATTGAAGCCTTTGATCATTTGGTTAAAGACATAATAGAATCTGAGCTGCCATTTAGAGGAAAGGTGATAGTTTTTGGAGGAGATTTTCGACAAACTTTACCTGTGATTGAGCGAGCTTCAAAACAAACTCTCATAGAAGCTAGCCTTCCTAATTCACCTCTATGGAATAAATTTCATATGTTGAAACTAACAGAAAATATGTGGGCCATTTTGGACCCAGTATTCTCAGAGTTTCTTTTAAGGGTGGGTGAAGGAAGAGAGCCTGTTGATCCACAGGGCCAAATAACCTTACTGAATGACATGGTCATTCCATATTATGAAAAAGAAGAATCTCTAAACAGGTTATAAAATTGTTATTCAGCTATGCTTCTTTTTACTACTTCTTGTCTTTCTAAATTTGCCCTTTATGTGTATCTTGATTTACTTTTCTTATATCCAGGTTGATAAAATATGTATTTCTAGATTTATTGGCTTATTCAAATGATCCTTATACTATGATCAATAGGTGCATTCTTACTCCAAAAAACAGTTTAGTTGATAAGCTAAATGATATCATGATAAAATGGTTTCTCGGAAATCTTCATGTTTATGTTAGCTCTGATAAAACTATTGATCAGCGTCATCAAGGAGATTATGAAAATTTTCTCAATTCACAAAATCCAAAAGGTCTTCCTCCTCACAAGTTGTTGCTTAAAGAAAATTGTCCCCTCATTCTTTTGAGAAATCTGAACCCTATAGAAGGATTATGTAATGGTACACGTCTCATCTGTAGAGAGCTCAGACAGCGTACAATTTGTACTGAAATAGCTTTTGGCCAGTACCAAGGGAAAATAATCTTTTTGCCTAAAATTCCTCTTCAAACATCTGATAGTGAAAAGAACGGCCTCCCATTTATAAGAACACAATTTCCTGTTCAACTTTGCTTTGCCTTAACAATTAACAAATCTCAAGGACAAACTCTTGATTATGTAGGGATTTACCTTCGTGAGCCGGTTTTCTCTCATGGACAGTTGTACGTAGCCTTATCTAGAGCTAAAACATCAGCTGCAGTTAAAATTCTCATTGAGCCTGGAACTTTTGGAGACATTAAAGTTGATTGCAAGACTAGAAATGTTGTATTCCAAGAAATATTTCAGCTAACTCAGCACTGATGTTATTACGGTTTAGGTATATCATACAGATTTATCCATTCATTATTCTTTGACTAATATGGTACTTTATGGCCATAATAACTTTCTTCTTTTTCAAGAATGATGCTGTATATATGAATCCTTCTGATATCTTTCTTCCTTTGTATACATGAAAATGCAAAATGGAAAAGTAGCTCACAATAAAAGAAATTATGCCCGAAATGCAAAGTTGGATATGCAAAATCACAGTTCAAGAAAAACAGCAAGTTATTCAATCAATGTCCACCCCAACAAAAAAGCAAAAGTTCATATTTATTGATGCTGAGGTACACAAATTGTTTCACAGAAAATATTATTGCCTATTGTGCCATGGTTCTTGCAAAAGTATAAACCATGGACTGTGGTATGTAATTAAATTCCTCTGTTCCGTTATCAAAAGGTTATATAAGGATGCTATTGTTTTCTGCATTCCAGTTGTCTGTCTTATTGATGCTATTTGGAAGGTTAATTTGTGGTAACTTATGTTATAATACAACAGGGATCAAAAGTTCAAGGCATTATTTTCAACAATGACATCCCTAGAATGAGCTCAATCCTTCAAGTTTATAAGAAATACAACATATCCAATGCTGAAGTGAAGCCAATCTTACCAAAATATCATACTGTTGAAATAACTCATCAGTGGACAATCACGAGCAAAACTGTTATTGAAGAGGTTCTTGATGATGAAGATATAATGCCTGTCAAGTTCAACTATACAAAGTTTACACATTTGGCACAGTATATGGACGATAAGACTAAATTAGTTGGTATATCTCATTACTTGATCTATATAAATAGTATGCATATCTCTGCATGAAATATTCAACAAATTTTTCCTTTTTCTAGATGTCCTTGGAATAGTTATTGAAGCATTGGAGAGAAAGGCAATTACTACACACTACAGAGAGTCTATTGTTCAAAAGTTTGTGCTTGTGAATGAAAAGTAAGATGTCCAATTCTCATCTTATATATAACGATCAGTAGTTATAATTTCTCCTATTACATATATCTTATTAAATACTAATTATTTATTTCATAGTAGATTGCAAACTGTTGTACTTTCTATGTGGGATGATTTCATCAAAAATGAAGGAGAACAGATAATTTCTGCCATGAACAACTATCTTGTTATTATTGCCCGAAGGATAAAAGTCAACAACTACAATGGTAACTTACAATTTAATGCCTAACCATCATCTGATACATTTATATCCATATATAAGTCTCTCTAACAAATGATCCTGAGTCAATAAGTATTCTCTATAGGTGTTTCTTTGTCCACATGGTTTGATTCTGCAATCCTCGTTGATCCTCCTGTTCAAGGAGCAAGGGAACTAAAGAATTGGTTTTGATTTAACTCTTCCCTTTCATTATCATTCTTAGCAGTTCATGATTCATGCAATATAATTTATTCTTTACTTCTTTAACCTTATTTTATCACAGGGCAATAAGAAATAGCAAGGAGTTGACAGTTATTCTGGAACAGAAAACTTATACTAGATACAATCCAGAACTTTCATTGGAACCAGATCAAAAGACCACCTTAATTTGCAATGTTAATCCTACCCACAAGGTATAAACATCTTCACTGATAGTTTATTTTACGGTACATTTATTTATCAAACAACATATTCATACTTTTTACTTCTGAATTTAGAGTACATGGGTCAAAGCACAGTTCAGTTTCTAGCACATATTTTAGAAATACTGGTACATAAGCTACAAAAAATGTTATCGACGTACTGCAACAGCACATGAAGTCATTTTTAGCTATAATACTTGTAAAGAAAAACATCCTGCTGAACCAAGGCTCATTACTAAAACCAATCTTTTTTTTTCAAAAAAGCTTTAAAGTTTACTATCATCATCATTTTTTACACATGCTAAACTTTTATTTACAAACATTTTTGCAGGTGTCACTTTGATGTGGATTTACGGGATCATACTGGAGTTATCACAGCTTCTATCTTTGGAGAACAAGCTGAACAACTGCTGATGTTCAATGCTCTTGAAATAGTGGAACACTTTAAGCAGGTTCATGTTCAACTTATTATTCACTTATCCTAAATCACAAACTGAAACCATATTCTCTGCTTTCTGAAAACTTTTTCTTAAATGCTTTCTAATTCACAGAACATTGAACTTCCACTTGAAATCGTCCACAAAGAACTTGACTCAAAGTGGTTCTTGGTACACATTAAGCCAGCACAAACTCAAGTTGCAGATACAAAGCAGCGATATACAATCATTTATTATTCTGAGATTGCCGATGCTGCTACCCCAATTTCTTCTGTCAATGAATCAATCATTCCCTTTCTATCAGTTCATAATCAGGATAGCCCTTCACAGATCACAACTTCAGGTATATAAAGATACTTATCACAGATAAATAATCCTTTTTTCTTACTCCAAATTAATCCCATTCTTCTCCAGGCACTGTAACTACTGAAGAAAACAATCCAACTTCAAAGATTCGCCTTTCACTAAATCAAAAGTTTGATCAGCCTGAAGAACCAGAAAAGAATGCTTCTCAACTTGAAGGAACTAGCTGCAGCAAGAAGCCAAAACTGAACTAAGTTCTCATGTTCTACAGTTTCTTTTGAAACTTAGGATTGCTACTTTGAAACTAAATTGCTGCTCTATGCTTTTTGTTCAGCAATTTATGATTTTAAGAAATCATGGTATTGCTGTTGTGTTTTGTTTAGCAACTTATGATTCCCAGAAATCACAAAATGACTGCTACTTAACTATGTTGTTCCTTGTTTCAGAATTACATTTCTTTAAATGTAGACATACTACTTATTTTGGAGCTTTGTTTTTGCCATCTGTTATATGCAATTGTGTGATTCTTTTACTGGAGTGAACTTGTGTAAAAAAATCACAGGAAAAAAGATGGAATAGCATAAGATAAGAACTTGAGGCGGGGAGGGTATTACAATATAGCAACCTATATCTCTTGCTAAACTATATATAGAACCCAAATGATGGTCCTGATGCAATCCTGCCAGGCATTTTTATCACCAGAAAGCAGTTTTATGTGTGTCATTTGCTGTTAGGCTTCCTAGTTTCCCTAACATGTATATCTTGCTTTAGTTTTGGAATCACAATGTGCAATAGGGAAATGACAGGAAGTATCAAACAGAATTTGTTCACAAGTTGGTTCTTGGTATCTTGTGATCTATCATAATGGCTGGGTGTTACTTTTGTAGTTTTAGTTTTCTTTTTTGTTCTTGTTATGGAGTATTTTGGCTTCAAATAGTGGTGTTTTGCAGCACATTGACCAGGTGTATACCTTCTCCTATTTTGATAAGTTGTTATGCCAATGCCAATGCCTATTTAGAACATAGGGCAGTATTAACCCGATAGACAAACTTTTCTGATAGCAATTTCCTTGGTTGCAACTTTTTATGTTGTCTCTAATTAAATCACCAGGGACTTGTGTTGCCACGACTTCTTGCTCTTTCTCTATGTAAGGATCGAAGACAACCAAGTGGAAGAGATAAACAATGTAAAGATCACAAACGTAACAATAAGTAAATAAAAAGGAAAAAATTGCAAACCAATTAACTACCCAACTCCTCTTGAGCTTGTAGATTAATTCAAACAAGTTTCTTCAAATTGATGAATTACAATCACTCTTGTGTACAAAGGAACATTCACCTCCTCCTTGCCCCGAACTACACTCGATTAAGTTACGAAGTTTTACTATCCCTCAGAACAACCATCGCAGAGCTACACTCATGAAGTATTCACTCACAAATGAAAAGCTTACAATGAACCTCACACCACTAAGAATACAAATCTTCCTTGGAGAGTATTTTCTCACTAAAATCACTCTAGATCTTTTGTATCTTCAGTGTGCAAAAGTTATTTGAAAATTCTGACAATACTCTATTTATAGGAGACCAAGAAAATGCTTTATTAATGCTTTTAACGGATAGAAAGTAACTGAACAGTCAACTAGCCGTTGGAGTATCAGACGTCCGGTACTCCTGTTTTTTGCGTCCAACAGCAGGCAGTGAGTTTGATAAATTTTCTTCAATTCTATCGGACGTCCGGTGCAAGCTCTTTGTGCGTCCGACGGCAAACAAAGAGATTTGAGAAATCATCTTGTTTCTATCAGACGCTCGGTGGAGACATATTCAGCGTCCGATGGTTTCGTCGACTTTGAAGGATCCTATCGGACGTCTGATGCTTGCGTCCGATCGAGGTCAGTGATTCAGAGGGAATGTCTTATTTCCTTCGGACGTCCGGTGGTGGAGTTCTTCATGCGTCCGAAGTTACGCAATGATTATCGGACGTCTGATCCAAGCGTCCGACAGCTTTCAACAGCCTTTGTCCCTTTCAATCACACTTGATCTTTGAATCTGATTTGCTTCACAACTGAAAATATTTCTTGAAGAGATATTAGTATTATCCATTGTTTTGTAAACATTAAAAATTAGAGACCAAGGTCAACATTTTCCTCCTTTTTGAAGATGACAAAACAATGGATGGAAGAAGGAAAAAGATTGAGCATATGAGCGAGCATAAGCTCCCCTCACTCATTGCATCCAAACTTATAATCTTAGAATAACTCTCCCTTACACATACCATCCATTTCTCCTCCTTTTTATCATCATAAGATGAGAGTATCCAATATTTCAACAATAACAGAGAATTGATATCAGAATTCAGTAATCACCAACATATCACAGAGACTTGATACCAAAAGAAGTACCAACATATCATAAAGAGTTTAACAAAGCAAATCATCATGAGATCAAAATTGTTCTTTTCTCTCCCTTTTTGGCATCATACAAATTCAGTAATATTAAAAAATATCAAGAAAAATCCAGTTCAAAACATCAGAAATATCAAAAGAGAATTACAAAAAAAAAACATTATGAACAAGAATCTCATCAATCTTACCAATATCTCCTACTTGTTAGAGTTAGTATCATGTCTAACTATTCACATGCATTTCATGCCTCTTCTCATGTTCTTTCTCACATAGCAATCACTTTTCATGTGATCTTTTTGACAACAAAAATCACACATAACCAAAGGATTATTTACATGAACATGTTTAACAAATCTAACTTGCCTTCTTCTGTAAATGGTAAATTCATTTGTACTAGAATTCAACCTTTTTCCATGTATGTCAAAATGAGGTTTTGTATCAATCCTTTGAAAGCAGTTTTGTTTCTTATGTCGAAGCAACTGATTAAGATCATCCATTCTTCTTTTCAAACCCCCTTGTTCATTTTTTAACATTTCACAATGTCTTGTTTTTCTATCAAATTCAAAGTGTAAAATAGTCTCACTCTTTTTTAAGAAATCACTTTTAGTTTTCAGTTTTTTATTTTCTTGAAAAAGACGTGCATTGTTTTGAAGAAAAAAGCTAATTTTATATTTTAATTCCTTGTTTCTAGCATAATATTCTTTCAAACTATCATGCAATTTTATAATGAAAGATTCAAAATCATTATCAGTTTCATCATCACTTTCAAATTGAGAGTTAGAAGTTGTTACCTCATCATCTCCAATGGTCATGAAAGCCAATTGAGCAGATTCATCTTCCTCTTCAATTTTATCATCAGAGTTGCATCCATTCCATGTGAACTGGAAGTTGTTGAATCTTGGTTTTCTTTCACCGTTCCTCTTCTTCATTGGACACTCACTTGCGTAGTGTCCAAATTGGCCGCATTCAAAGCACTTATCAGTTTGCTTTTTGTTGAGCTCTAGCTTCCCTTTGTTTCTCAGGTTGTCGAACTGATTTGGGAATGAATTGTTGGGTCCACCTTTTCTGAATCTCCTCTTGTTGAGTATTCTTTT